ATTTAACATTCACTTCTAAAGGAGTATCACTAGGACGAACCTCTTGGAGACCAGCCAATGCAATGAGTTCCTTAATATAATTATGCTGATGAAGAAAAGTACTAGCGAGAGAAGAGTGAACCTCAAGACCTAAGAAATAAATTAAAGACTCAAAATCTTTCATATGAAAAGAACCCTGAATGAGTTTCTGCAACTGAGACAACAATTGAGTATTAGATTCTGTGATGACAATATTATCAACATAGACTAATAACAAAACAATTCCCTTGTCAGTTTTGCAAATAAATATTGAAGAATCATAATGACTTTGAATAAAAGAGAAGCTAAGAAAAATATTGCGAAACTATTCAAGCCAGACACGTAGAGCCTATTTCAAACCGTATAAAGACCGTTTAAGCTTACAAAATTCATGTGAGGATGTAGAAAACAAGCCTGATGAAGGAGTCATATAGATATCTTTCTTGAGGTTTCCATGCAAAAATGCATTCTTAATATCCGTCTGTCGTAAGAACCAACCTTTAGATGCAGCAATAGATAAAACAAGCCCGATGATTGTCATCTTAACCACGTGTGCAAATGTCTCTTCATAATAAATCCCATATTCCTGTCAATTGCCAAGAGCTACCTAGCTTGCCTTATATCTGTCAAGGGAACAATAAGATCAGAGCTTAAGAAAATAAACCCATTTACAACCAATGTGTTTAATACCTGCAGGACATGAAACAATATCCCAAGTGTGATTGTTTTGAAGTTCCTAAATATCCTCTTGCATGGTTTTTATCCAACAAGCCTGTTTAGCAACCTAAGAATAAGAGGTAGGAACTATAGTATTAGTTAAAATTGCAGAATAGTCATATCTATCCGGAAGTCAAATGTGCCAAGTTGATCGTCAAAGAATCATTGGAGCATTTTCATGAGCAGAGTCGGAAAGGACTGGAGGTGAAGGGGGCAGGTGTCGTGTGTAGACAAGATAAGGCTTTATCCATTTATCAAAAGAAGAATCATTAAAGTGATGACGTACAACAATATCAGATGTCAAAAGATGATGCTGAAAATAATATTCATGTTCAAAGAAAATCACATTCCAAGAGGTACGCTATCGATTATTAATCGAATCATAAAACACAAAACCTTTATGATTAGACTTATGACCCATAAAGGCACATCGAACAGACTGGGTATCCAACTTATGAAGTTCGTGAGCAGTTAAATGAACAAAACAAACACATCCGAAAGTATGTAGCATATGATAATTATGATGTTTATAAAAAATTCAATAGTAAGGAGAATCAAATTTTAATTGCTGAGATGATAAGCAATTAATGAAATAAACTGCACTAAATAAAGCTTCAATCCAAAACTTAGCTGAAACAGAAGATTCTAACAACAATTTGCTCACCATATTCAACATATGTCGATTTTTCGTTTAACAACTCTATTTCGCTGAGATATATAAGGACATGAACGCTGTGAAACAATGCCCTTGTTATGAAGAAATGTTTGAAACTCATGAGACGTGTATTTATCATCATTGTCGGATAATAAATTTTAATACATGTGGATAATTGAGTTTCAATATATGTTAAAAAGATTTGAAACACGGTAAACACTTCTGCTTTGAAATACAAAAAATAAATTTATGTGAATCGACTGTAATCGACAATAAATATCATAAAATATTTATACTGAGTACGTGAAATAAACAGTGTAATTCTCTAAACATTACTATGAATAATGTCAAAATATTTATTAGCATGACTATCAAAAATAGGAAAATGCAATGTCTTACTTTTGTCCAGTTTACAAGAAGAACAATCAACTAATAAATTTTTATCTGTAGAACAAAAAACACCACTTTGCGACAAATGATTCAAAATAATATTATTCAGAGGACCTAATCATGTATGTTAGACGTCAGCCTTATTTGTAAGAACTGAAGAAGCTAATGACAAAGTCTGAGGAATGGTAAATTATAATGGAAATAAACTGTTCACTTTAGGCTCTTCGTTATCACCTTCCTTGGCACCAGATTTTGCACAATGCCACCCTCACGAGAAAAGTGTATATCACAGTTATTATCCACCATTCGACCAACAGAAAGTAAACTAGTTGATAATTTAGGAGAAACCAAGACATGTTGGATGAAGGAGCTAATATTAATAACTATCATAATTTGAATATTATTTTCATCAACTACCTGAATATATTATCAATATACAGGCGTTGATTATGCAATAAATCAGATGTGTCAGTCATATGATTTGTGACGCCGTAATCAACAACCCAAGGAGAAGGAACATAAGTAATAATCTTATCTTTCCCTTGAAGACCAAGAACAAAAAAGACAGAAATAATCATCTGTTGAACCATATCTGGTGTGAGAATAGATTGATTATTGCCAGCAACTGTAGATGTCGAACCAAGATTTTGAGAGTCAGATGTAACAATATGAAGGGCTTGTGGTATGTGGTTTTGAGGCCGTGCAAGACACTCCTTAATAATATGTTCGTATTGTTTGCAATAATTACAAAACTTCTTACTACAATGGCGGACAATATGACAAAATTTTTTGTTACCTCGGGTATGAGCAGTATATGCAACATTATCTATTTCAGATGATTCACGAGCTACACCGATAGCAGCTTGTGTTGCTAATCTTTGTTCTTTGCTCAATAATTGACTAAAACATACATCCAAACAAGTAACCAGATATCTATTCAGCATCCCAACCCGAGCAGTTTCAAATTCAGGTCCGAGCTTCATCAAAAACTGATCACGACGACTCACTTCATGAACAGTTTGAAGACCATCTCAATTCTCCTTTGACACCTTAACATAGATAATACCAGAATATTTACTCCATAAATTAAATAAGTCAGCATAATTTTGTTCAATATAGAGAATACATGATTATAATTACTCATAACAAGTACAAATTGAAAGCGTTTTGTAGTATTATTTTGATTGTAGACTCGCTTCGAGTATTCACATATTTTTTTTAACTGTGTCAAAGGGTCGTAAATTGTTCACCATATGAACTTCAATAGATCCCAAAATCCAAGAAACGATCCGAGCATCCTTTGTCTCCCATTGACTAAGATCTGTTAGCTCTGTATGTGCTCAAGAAGACCCATCAATATGACCTCAAAGCTCATTCTCATTCAAAAACATCTTGAAATGAAATTCTGATGCTGCATAATTCTTTCCCGCAAATTTGATAGCTAAAATTTCATGTATTTTCTCAAACGACATTCTAAATAGAATTGTCACTCACAAGTTGAATATTAAGAAAGTTGTTGATCGAAATTAATCAAACTAAAATCAAAGAAAACCAACAACCAACAGTTCTAAGAATAAAAAGAAAACTACAGATTCAAGAAAGTATTCAGTTGTGTGACTTTGATACCGTAACAATTTTTGAGAAAATTGGCTGAATGCCTTTTTTCCTTTGCTTTCATTCCAATAAAAAATAATTTGTACAATCTATTTTAGGTAACCTAATACATATTCTTAATCTAAATATATTCAACTATAAAGGAAGAATATGTACAATTAACAAGAGAGGTAAATTAGGAGAGAAAAATTGGAAGCAATTTAAATAAGAAAACTCTTAAGGGAACTCCTAATTTAAATAAGGAAACTCCTAATCCTAGCTGTCTGATTTCTATCATTCTTAATTGATACTGGGGAAGCTTGAAAATGTACCACTTCATCCGCACCTATATTGTATGTTTTGGGAAAAGATGCAAGCCATTTATTGATGGTGGAAGCTCCATTAATGTTGTTAGAAAGTCGATCCTTTCATGCTTAGCAATTGACATCTAGTCCCATCAAAATTCAAGCCATTTATTTGTTTGGCTTACCCTCCACCATTACGCCTTTAAACTTCATGATGGCTTCCTCTTACGAGGACCACTTGGCTTTCAACTCATCTAGAGAGACATTCCTATAAGCAGTAACATGCAGGTGGTTTAGCCAACATGATAGTAGTGATGAGGCTGTCAGACTTATCAAGATTATTTTATTATCCCTTCATAAAATAAGATTTTACTCGTGGCATCATTTAATGTTATAATTGCTATTATGGCAAGCAAATCAAACATCCCTTGGGACCATGCACGGCATTACCAATCCTAAATTTCCTATATATTTAGGGGTTGTTTGGGATCACTTTTATTTTCTAATTACTATTTTTTATTTATTTTTGTTTTTTTTATATTTTGATTTGAAACAAAATATTTTTTAGCTATTTGATTAAAGTATGATTATTCTTAAAAATAAGTAAAATACTTAAAAAAGTTGTTTTGAGCGTTGAAAAAACAAGTTAAAAAATATGCTCAATAAACATGTTTTAAAAATATCAAGAAAAAAAAAACTAAATTGATCCCAAACAAGCTCTTAGTTCATGGTTTGCCAAAAACATAACTCAATATTTGTTATACCTGACCTATTCTTCGAGATCCCCCCTTTTTCCCCGAAACTAAGACTAATGATTCATGCATATCTCATTTTTGCTGTTGATATATAGTTTCTTTGTACGAGCTTTTTTTTGTTCGTAGCTTTTGGTCATGATAATTTATTTGTTGAATATTATTGCGAAGTTAGCACTATTATTACCTTGTAGAGTTAACTACTAGCCCTTTGTATTGCCTACGAATGTTGCTGTAAGTGGATTAAGTTATTTTCTTTGCTCTAGTCCCCATTGAAGGTTGTCGACCAATCTTATTCCTTTCTAACACTCATATTATTGCGTTATAATTGTTTTTTTATTTTTATTTTTTATTGCTTGATTAAGATTAGTTGATAAAAATAAGTCATCTCATAGTTTAACTGTCTTTGTAATGTTATTATTGCTGGTAAAAGATCTCACATAAGCTTAAATTTGTATTATGAGTTCTCTTACACCAAATTCAAAGATTTTATTGCTCATATTATTAGATTTCATATATCTATTGAACCAGTATTGTTAAAGCGAATGACTATTAATTTCTGTTTGTTAGCCAGTTTGGCGATATATATCAAGAGGAGTACTTTATCAATTACCTACAAGCTGATATTAAAATTGTGAAGGATCTACCAGTTGAATTGCAGTCATTAGACTTGGAGGCAATAGGTAGTCTTGTAAGTATGCACTTCTTGAAATTTTGAGTATTGGTGCAATAGTTATGATGAATTGTTCTAAATATTTTAATTTTGAATATATATCAGATCACTGATGCAGAAATCATGAAAGAGGCAAAGCCAAGTTTTTATGTAAAAAAGATTTTGCCTATCTTGCTTAAAAATAGGTTGGTTCATTTTACTGGATTCGGGAATCGCCTAGCTTTTGACCCCATACCATTTGATTTGCAGGTACGTTATTGCATGATGCCAGCTTGTTTGGAACACCCTCACATCAATCTATAGTTAATATGGTTTAAAATAGAAATTGGCCTTGTTTATCATATTCGTAAATGCATATTTTGGTTAATATTCTTAATTTATTAGCTCAATATACTTGAATAGCACAATAAAGTAATTGCTCCTAACCATATTTGTTAATAGCAAATAGCACACCATAGAGCAAATGCATTTGTGGAGCCGTAATGCATAGTGCACATGCACTAATTTAAACATTATACAAAATATAAAAAAAAAAGAGAAAAATGCAGTTAATTCTAAATATTGGATTGAAAAATAAATCATTATAATAATGAAAACAATCAAAGTGATGCTTAGGTTCAATACTCAGTACCTCAACCAATAGATGAAAATTGATGACATAAATAAAAAAATATTATACTCTTTAGAAGCCACGCCTCTGACTCATTAAAAAATTTGATAACTATGTGTTCAAATAACATTATTCGTTCTTCTAATCATTTGAAACTTTTAATCAGTCAATGCCTTAAAATTCATTAAAAAATTTGATAACTTAATAGTTCATGTCATATTTGATTCTAGTTTAGAGTAAAAAAAGTCTATTTTTAGGGCCATCATTTTATGAACAAAATGGAAAAGTAGAAAAATAACTTCCATTTGAGTTTACTAATAAATTAGTGAAGCCATTTAGCGAAAGTAAGATATTAATATCAAAGTGAAAAGCTAAAATGAACATAAATGGAGCTTCGAAGCCTTGAACTATTAAGGGGATATCACGAATGGGAGTGGCAACAGATCGTTGACTAAACAATTGCATGAATCATACTCTTCATTTTTTGGATTCCTTAAAGTAACTGTTTCTATTTGAGCCACTCCATTCGATTTTCCCGTGTCCAATCTTGGAAACCTAAAATTTGAGATCTTGAAGACAAAATCACTTATATTAATCGAGAGTCTTTTTAAGTGATCCCGGTCATTTAAAATGTGATTAACTATAGGTGTTTGCCTCTATAGAAAACTTGGAATCCAGGTAAAATAAACTTTTTTTAATCCTTATATTAGGTAGGGGAACTTGCCGACTATATATAAAAGTTTTGTAGACCAAACAGATGTAACAAATTCCTTAGTTTAGGTGGTTGAGCCTACTGTCAAGTGGTATGCTTATCCTTTGGGATAGTGCATTACTTGTGGTATCACACTCAGCTATCCAAACTATTCAATATGTGAGACTCGTTTGGTCTCATCTATTTTTAAATTAAAATATTACTTTCAAAAATCATATGTACATCAAAACTATTTTCATCTTTGCAAAATCATCATTCTTTTCAAAATAATGGCTGATACTAAGCAGATTAAAATTGATAAAAACTTGGTAAAAAATAAGTTTGACAGTAGTTTAACTGGATCACTGTTCACATTAAATGATTATCCTCCAGCAATATAATGAAAACAAAGAAAATTGATTATCCTCCCCCAGCCAAAGTGTAGACATGCCTAGTGGATATCTTATCCTTATGTCACTGATATGTCGATTTAAATCAGTTAATATAAGCACTCATAACATTAAATAATCATCAAGTTAGTGATCTATAATACACCTAACTTCCCCCTCTGAATATTAAAGACCTTTCATCATGTTGAAACACAACTTAAATCAGTAGCCTACAAGAAAGTTAATTTTATTTCTCGAATATCTCTGCAAAAATATTGTCCTTAGAATTCCCTGCTTTGGTTTTTGTAATATGTGAAAAAATAAAAACATAGAAAGCATGCCAAATAAATTGTTTCCTCGCATTCTACATCAACGTAATAAAACCTTCATTTTCTATTACACAGTTTAAAAAAACTATGTATTTTCAACAAGAAATCGGTGTGATAATGAACCAAAATTGCAAGAAAAAAAAGGTAATCAACGGGTTTATTTATAAAAAAAAACTAACCTGACAACGACAAGGTGTACAAGGCCCAACTTGTCCAACTTCCTCTGTAGAGACAATCTGATGACCACGCTCTTGTGCTTCCCACCACTCATTATCAATATTAAGAAAAGCCGGTTGTGCAATCCCATTATAATTCCCATCTCCCCGGGTTTGACAAGAATCAATATCATCAACAAAGGCCTTCATTTGCATATCTAGAATTGGATGCTCAACTTTGGTCTTCCTAAATGAGAAGGCAGGACCATGATTTGCCTTACTTTGTTGTTCTGCAAGATTTTGATTTATTTCCATCTTTGGATTTCTGCTAAAGTTGCCTAGCCCATCTGACTGCTGGGGCAAAAGTAATGGTATGTCTTGATAAGAATGGGAGTTGCAGCAGATCGTTGACTAAACAATTACATGCACCCTACTCTTCATTTATTTGTATTCCTTAAAATAATTGTTTCTATTTGAGCCACTTTCATTCGATTTTCCCGTGCCAATCTTGGAAACCTAAACTTTATCAAATGGTTAAAGGTGTTGAAGAAAGTTTGAAGTGAGGTGGTCGTGATGTTCTATGCTCTAAATGCTCGTCAAAGCGATTTGAAACGTGTGCTCGACAAGTTGAGCTTCAATCTTGGAGTGATGGGTTCAATGAGTTGGGCACAAAAGCTCTTGTACAATATTGGTAGAAAGGAGGAGAGTTCACGTAGAAGGAGAGATCTTAGCATGCGAGATGGTGGAGCATCGAGGTTAAGAAAGAGAAGGTTGAGAACTCTCAGGTTTATTTGATTCATATCATTAATCAAAACTAAACTTAAATTTTAATCCATAAATAAAATTGAACAAAGTAAATAATTAATATATGCAAACTAGTAAATTTAGTTTCAAGACCTAATCAAAATACTATACACTATAGGAGCAATACGTCAAGCACCTTTGCTAATGAATAGCGCAACTAGTGCATGCATTTCAGTCCTCCCTAGTGCGCCATGCAAATGATATTAGGGGTATGTTGTGCTACACTATGCATCATGCAGGTGCCATTTAATTTTTTTGATAGACATGATTTGAACTACATTTTTAATCCTACAAAAAACACTTGGTAGGGAGTACTAAATAATGAAATATCTAGATTTTTTTTAAATGATAACTTTGGATTCTAGATGTTCATTGTCGGCCAAATAAATGTTGCGGATTCTTTATTTAAGATTTAACTTAATTTAATTATGGATAGATATGTGATTATAACTTTATAAAATAATATTTTTAACTTTGGAGAATAATGTATCAATTTAATTTATATATGACTATAATTTTGAATAATAATAATATTTTAATTTAAAAAAGTGAGACCGAATGGATCTCATATATTTGATAGTCTAGATAATTGAGCACGGTACCACAAGCAGTACACTATCCCGAAAGATAAACATGTCATTTGTTAGTAGGCTTAACCACATAAATTAAAGAGTTTGCGACGTTCATTCGATCTGCGAAACCTCATTTTTTTTATAAGCCGACAAATTCTTCTATTTAACATAGAAGATTAAATAGGATTTATATTAAGCTGTGTTCTTAAATTCCCTATAGAGGCACACCCCTATAGTTAATTACATTTTAAGTAATCAAAATTACCTAAGAAAACTCTTGATTAAGATTAGTGGTTCTGCCTTCAAGATTTCAAAGTTTAAGTTTTCAAGATTGAATATAAGAAAATCAAAAGAGAAGAGCTCAAAATAGGAACAATTATTTTTCAGGAGCCAAATGAGTGAAGGGTGGGGGAAGTCACAGATTCGAGGGGGAACCCGGTGACTTCCCAACTATCCTGCTATTAGACTTTAATTTTGAAAATACGTTATTTGATGTTTCTTTCTGTCAGTTTTATTATTTAGGACTTACACTCGCACGATACGTAATTGTGCAAATGACCTAGGAAGATAGGAATATTTACGTCGTACCGAACGCCAACCTTGGAATCCTATAGAGAATTATGACTTATAATGCACAATAGAGTGGTGCAAAGGCTTAAAACTGAAGTGAGGATTTATGTCGCACTAAGCGGACTACCTCGAAGTCCAATGTGTTTGTTTTTTATTTTATAAAAATTTCAACTGAAGTTCGTCATTCCCTTCATTGTTGTGGTCTCGATCGTCGCCCTCCACCCGGTCGATTCCTCGTTCCGCTTCCTGTAAAGACTACTCCAAGCTCCTTAACATATCAGTCATAGGTTCAGGGTTTGGTGTGTATATATATATACAGTTGTTAGGTCAGTGATTCGCCATAGGATGCCTTCTAAACCGGATGTCCTACTGTCCTCTATTCTAAAGACCCTTGCAAGTTTGTAAAAGTAACACGAATAATAAAACAGAAACATGCTACAAAGCGCAATAAACAATAAACAGTAACATCGCAAGCATGAACTATACGTAAATCAGTAAAGTGCGGTAAAGGAAAACGGTAAGTAAAGAAAGGCAGTAAGGTGTGCAGTAAAGAAAGTAAAACGCTGTAAATATAGAACAAATATGTATATTTGATGGGTCTGTTGCTCCTGTAATAGAATTCGTTGTCGCAGGTACAATTAAACGAGCATAATAAAAGAATTTAACAGATGGGTAAGCATGCATTTACATAAATAGGTGTGAATAGCAAAACATATTTAGACAACTCAAGGAAAGCCACAAATGACACATGGTAACTCGAAGAAAACTTTTTGAAAATGTGTGGAAAATCCGAAGTAAATCACGAATGATCTGCAAAAACTCCAATAAAACTGTAGGAAACGTATGAAAAATCTGAGAAAAGAAAGAAAACCTTAAACATTCGGGTCGGGGTAGACTCAAATTTAGTTATTCTCGAGAGACTTCAAAGGAAACAATTGGTCATCCGTATGTACAGAACCAGACATTCAACTAGAAATTTTCAACAATACAATCTTAGGAGAGCAATCCTTCCTCCAGTGCAGCTAATTGACAAGTAGACAATCAAATTATATTACTTAAAATTTATATTTTGGCATGCATATAAGCAAAATTAAAATCTATTTTAGTAGTCGAAATATTTTGTAAATAT